CTCTCTCTCTCTCTCTCTCTCTCTCTCTCTCTCTCTCTCTCTCTCTCTCTCTCTCTCTCTCTCTCTCTCTCTCTCTCTCTCTCTCTCTCTCTCTCAATAAATAGCCAATGAGACATATATATATTTATTGATGGCATACATGGATTGACGGCCGATATTTATACTAATAACAGCATATTTGTAATACTGCTATCAGCGAATACAGCGCAAAAGGATCTGACAAAAACTTTACATGTTTTAATTAGGATGGCTAATAAAATCAAACTTATGAACCCCCAATATACAATTTAATAGGTGTTTCAGTTTATGTTAAGTAATATAAAAAGTATAAAATCGATAAGAGTTATTCTTGATTTGCCTAGAATAATTCTAGGAAATGCTAAGGACTAAATTGGGATCAGTCCTTATTAAATAACGTTAATATTCCAAACCAGGTTTAATAAGTTTCTACAGCAACTAAACATTCCTGGCTGAAATTTAAATAATTATTAATTTACCAATCAAGTTCACCAATTCATTCCTTGAAAATTGTGTGCCAAAAATTTACAGGGTTAAACCTGACAGCAAAAGCTGCAGAATAATTTCATACGTGGAGTAAAATCCCGTTTACATTGCCTTGGAAATACAGTTAGTTATTTATTGTCGGTACAATTTTGTAAAAGAAAAAAACCTTGTCATTATCTCTAAAATAAATTCACTAAATATATTAAAATCTGAAGTGAAATTTGCTAGCAATTAAAGGATCCTAAACAACTTTGACTCATTAGTTGTAAAAGTTCAAGGGAAATATGTCTGCAAAGGACCCTAGACAGCTTCGACTCATTCATTGCAAGCCATGGTGAGGAATACGTTTTCAAAGTGATATACAGAAGAAAACTAGGCCAGTGGCAAGCCAATGCATATCCTCAATCTTGCAGGTGAGTTATCTGACATAGGCATATGTATAGTGTCATACCCAGTTAGTGTAGAGGCCTATGTGATATAAAGGTGGGAAATTTAATGGTTTCTAACCCGTGAATCAAGGGCAAGTCTTTTACTCCTTAGGTCTGATCCAAGTCCACAGCTGGATGTACAGGTCAGTAAGACCTCTCTCAAATTATATGCATGTCTGATATTCCATCACCAGAACGAGGCTAACTGAGCAAGCTATAGTAGAAGCTGAAGTTATGGAAGCCACTAGTAATACTAGCAGAAAATCAGCAGAGCATTGTTTTGTGCTCAGTTATACGTCAGATTCACGATATGGTCCAACACTATCTTTATTCAATTCCGAAGAATCCTACATTGAAAAAGCAATGGACAACTTTGATAAGAAGAGATAAAATTCAAAGCTGTCTTTTGCTATTTCTCAGTATATAAAAGTTCTTCATTCCAAAGACTTGCTCTCTTTTACCGTATACATTTTAAACATTTTCAGTTATTACTCAAAAGGAATATTTTAGTAAAAGCCTGAAATATTTTTTCTTGGTATTGTGTATTATTCCTTGTATGCATATTTTGTTTTATTTGCATTGATTAGGTTACAAAGTCAACAGTCGTGCGTTCAAAGCATTTTACAAAGGATGATTGCAAGTTATGGACACCAGTACGATAAAGACTATGTCCTAATGCAATGTCATCCATCTTTGATTGGAGCAGCGAAAACATACTCAAGAGACCCTTAAAAAGAAAAATACTTGCTTCTGAAGAACCACTTACAGTTTTATAAAGGTAATTAAGCTTATATTTTGTAAAATGAGAGGGAAATATCAACAAGAAAATAGTTTTTCAGATGCTGTTAAACCATGAATTTATTACTTCAGTCATTGATACAATAGTACACAAAAATTGATTGCAACATTTTAATCAAAAAGTTCTTTAAAAACCACATTGGAGCCAGGCAATTTAAAAGAGGCATTGTTATATCACAAGTAATTGTATATATAGCATATTCCCGAAAAACGGGTGAAATGTGTTCGTGTTTGGCTAATATTACAATAATACAAACTTGTTGGATTGTGGTTTTATTTAACAGAATGGATAATGATGTAACTGTGACAGATCTGTTTGTTGACACAAAAGCCAAATCCGGTAATGAAGATCAAGGACAGTCATTATATCAGCAAAGGATAAAAGAGTTGGAGGGAAAACTTCGACATAAATCGTAAGAATGCGAAAGAATGAAAAACCATTTGCAAATAGAACGTTTTGGCTTAAACAGGTTTTTAAGTGACAACACTCATATATTATTCTATACAGGTTTTTCCTCCTATTACACCTTTGCTGCTTTCTTTACTTGTATTCAGCCATCAGTTCAAACCATGCAGAGCGCCTACTACAAAAGTAATGAAACTTAGTTTGGCAGATAGAAAACTTAGCATGCTCCTTATAAATGAATTGTTCATGTTTCTTTATCGTTTTAAAGCTGGTCTTCTTGAGCAGGATCGCAGTGTTAGATTCAAATGTTCTCTGGAAACCGTGAGCCGTAAAATAGTCACTTGGACTAACTTTCTATATTTTGTTCTTGGTACCCATCCTTTTTGGTTACCAGGAGAAATTGCTCAAACATTAATGCCAGAAAGATTCAGAGCTTTGTATCCATCCATCCGAGGCATAATTGACTGTATCGAGATAAGAAGTGAACAACGTTTGTCTCTTGTACTTAACACCAAATCATTTTCGAAGTACAAACATACTGTTACAGGCCAGGGGTCTTTTGCTTGACCGAGCGGTGTCAAAACCCTGGGCTCGAATCCCGCTAGAAGTCATAAGTTTACCTCATATTTCCAAAGTTGTAAGTCGGAAAGCCAGACGTGTCCATTCTATACATACATTTTACAATAATCAATACAAGACCACCTTATTTACAACTTGCAATTAAGCCATCAAACGCACATCTCCACAGTTTCTCTATATTAACTTTTCATTCCGCTTGTAATTCACACCGTAGAAACTGTACAACTATCCCTAACATGGGGAACTATTTTAACTGCCCACCCGAGGCCAGTTTATCTAACGTTTAAAGGCACATCACACCAGTAAACATACATCACCTTTGCCACTATGGCAACATAACCGGTATCAACCGAGTCCTTTCTCATTTATCCCATTGCGTAATTTACCGGTTTACTACCATAAATACTGCCGCTGCAGTCACAACACTGATGTACACCAGTAGTTTTTATAAAGTGCTTTATCACGACAGGGACAGTCATGCGGATTGGGTCTGAGTTCGCTACTCATTGTCTATGGCATCTCACTAACACTTTCTCTCCGTGACGTTTGCTCCTAATAACTGACTAATTATTTCGTGCTAAGGAATATTTCCCACTGCAACGAATTCCAATAATCGAACATATAATCACACAAGCCTACAAATTGCTTAAACTAAATGCGCATCTCCTTAATTTTCTTACAATACCATCACATTTAAATGTCTTTGGGGTATTGCGCCTCATGGAGCAATAACTTTCATATCTTCACTTTATGCTGGTTGCATGTCTGATGTGGAAATTGTTAAATTATCTTTTTTACTTGATCTTCTAGTGCCAAGGGCTGATGTCGTGGAATATATAAAGGTTTCACTCTTCGTAAAAATTAGGCTGAAAATACCTGTTTGTTTTAAGCAGTATAAGGCAGTTCAGTATCGGCGAAATTGAAGAAAAAAAAAAACAGAACTAATTGCGAAACATGGGATTCACATTGAATGTATGAACAGATGAATGAAAGAAAGTCATTTATTAGATTTTCCTATTTCCCTTTCGCTAACTGGTTAAATAAATCAACTTTGGTCTGTTACCTGTTTGCTGGTAAATTTTAGAGGTCTCATTGTGCAACCATGGTCAAATGTTGTATCTTAAAGAATCTTGTTACAGATAGTAATTGAAATAAAAGTTATCTACTTTGTCTTTTACTTGCTGCCAGACAGCTTGGTTGAAAATTATAGCTTATAAATGCTAATAATTTTGGCACCAGATCAAAAAAACACATCACTTTAATCCTGTAACTGCAAGCTCTGTCAAAATTTAGTAATAGTGCTTTTGATTTTTCTTCAGTTGCAGAACTCCATTTTGTTCTTGAGCCAGATATTTGACCTCTAAGAAACCCCTTAGTTGAGAACGCATAATTTCCAGTAAACCAAATGGCGGGATATATTTGGGATTGTATACTTTTCTGTTTGGACATGCAGCAGACCAAGGACACCAGAAATTTACAATCACTCCGCAAGGATGGAGGTTAATTTAGGTTTTTTGTGTATTGCATAGGCCTTTGCTGCTTTAGGTTCTGTTGCACACCTTTGACGCATAGTTGTGATATATTTTTTACTGATTTTAACCTTGTCACCAAGATGGTGGGATACTTGCGGTGCCTATAAATCTCTCCTACGTTTGATGCAGTAATTCTATTTCTTCTGATCCTGTACCATAATGAGTTTTGGTTTTGGGAGCCTTGCTTGCTCTTCAAACTTCTTTGTTTCACCCACGGTTATTTTTAAACCTCTAATTTTATACTTTGCAGATTTGTTAATGCTATATAAAGATGATTCATCATGTAATTAGAGCAGGTCAGGTCTGAAAATGATGCAGCGTCATACATATTTATAATACAGTGACTCTCTAGCTTTTGTTGGTAGCTGAGGCCAGAACCACGAGGTACACAACCAAATTTTGTTTGAGCCAATGTGGCTAAAGGTAATTGCAACGCAAGTAAGATTAACATGGAACTGTCAGCCTTTTGTAGGATGGACATACTGTGTTTCCAGTCCACATTATCCCCATGAATAGGGTTGTATAGTGTAGATTTTATAGCATACGGTGACATATCACCGCTGACCAAACGTCCGTTGTATTAACATATCCTTTAATTTCAATATTTTGCTCTGTTTTTCCTTGAAGTTTTTCCCACTTGGAGCATGCCATATTTGAGGCTGGCATGTTTATGCTATATCTTTTGGAAGTGCCCTTTGTCTCAGCATTTTGTATTTGGCAAACTGATAGAGTAAAACAACAATATGTGACCGCGCCGGTGGCCTTGTGGTTAGAGCGTCCGCCTCGGATGCGGGAGGTCGTAGGTTCGAGTCATATCAAAGACTTACAAAAATGGTACTAACAGCTGCCTCGCTTGACGCTCAGTATTAAGAGTTTAGTGTTAGGACTGGTCGGCATGGTGTCAGGATAATGTGACTGGGTTGGACATCATGCTACATGTCTGCAGCATGATGCCCCAGTACTAGACATCACTATAAACTGTCACAATGCAGACATCGTAGCGATATGACTGAAAAATTATTAAAGCTACATTAAAAATCATTCTCACATCACACATCACATACTCATTTAGAAGAAAGAGTTTAACTTCAAGGCTTCAAACTGTAGCCCAAAATGGGAGATCAATATTTGCTTCACGTACTTTAAGTTCACACGGAAAGTATCAGAAAAAGCACGAGAATATATAAGTGTGAAATTTCTCAAAATTCTATCTTTAGAAATGATTCCTGGAACTACAGGTATGACGTTTGCTCAAAATATACATCCAAAGAGAAAGTTGCTGAAAACAGGGAATCATACTCCCACAAATGGAAAACCAATGTATACTAGTAAATATAAAATATACTATCGTTACAAAGTCACTTTTATCTAGTAAAAGTATTAATTATGCATAAGGAATTTACTTTGGTTTCATTAATTTTCTTTAATTGTTTCGTAGTTACCCCACGACTTTAAAGACCCATTAAAACAAATAGACACAGGTGATGATGTTTGTTAAATGTTAAATTATTTTCTTCTGACCTCCGTGTATATGGTTAACTTGGGAAAATCCCACTTATATACTTACGGCTAGTTCAGTTAGCTACGTATTGGTTTAGAATTAAAAATTATGCAAATAGTATTCTCAGTACTACATAGGCGGTGCAATAAAAGCATGCATTGGATTACACTCCTAAAAGATACTTTAAACAGTTTGGGTGAAGTGTGGCTGTTTCTCAGTTCTGTAGATTGCTCCCAGTTTATTATATTTGTGAAACAAAGGATCCCATCAGACTTGAATAACAAATTTAAAAGTCGAACAAATTGTACATATATAAAGCTGTCACTAAATGCGAAGGGTTTTTTTAATTCATGTGTAATCATACACATGAATCACCTTTGACAAAACTCTTTTCATCATCTGCGAAATGAAACTGGGAGTTATGTAAGCAATAGACTCGATAAAAATCTGGGAGTTATGTAAGCAATAGACTCGATAAAAATATGGGAGTTATGTAAGCAATAGACTCGATAAAAATCTGGGAGTTATGTAAGCAATAGACTCGATAAAAATCTGGGAGTTATGTAAGCAATAGACTCGATAAAAATCTGGGAGTTATGTAAGCAACAGACTCGATAAAAATCTGGGAGTTATGTAAGCAACAGACTCGATAAAAATCTGGGAGTTATGTAAGCAACAGACTCGATAAAAATCTGGGAGTTATGTAAGCAACAGACTCGATAAAAATGAAAGATGCTGTATGCTATTTAACAACCACGATATTGAAGATGAATACCATTTTCTTCAAGTGTGACCAGTATATACTTCTTACGTATATGAATTATTCAAAAAGAACTTTTGAATAAACCACCCTTGCATAAGAACATTCGGTTGTTAACTCCTAATAATAATAGAGCAATATATTAAAGAGTTTGTTAATGAAGCATTAAAAATACGATATTCATTATTATCTTTGAGTTATTTATTGTGTCTATTTGTCCATCCTTTGCTTTGAGTTATTTATTGTGTCTATTTGTCCATCCTTTGCTTTGAGTTATTTATTGTGTCTATTTGTCCATCCTTTCCTTTCCAGTCTATTTGTGGACACGTTCTAGACCTGTGGCTATGGTTGCTTGTGTCCCCACCCCCAATAGCACTTTCAGAAACAGTTAAAGGCTTTTATGTTATTGTTCCACCTAGTGATGTATTGTGTTGTTTTTCCTTAAACAATAAAAGTAGAATGTTTGTAAGAAAATTTTAATGTAACTTTAGTTCCGGGGTTTCTTTCTCCTTTTTTTTAAACGGTTAAATCCTTTTCAGATAAGTCATACTATAGGGTTCCCGGTTAGCAGGCCGCTTATTTCTGTCCCTATTCCAATACTTGAATAAACCTGGATATATACCTTGTATTCCACCCATTGGCAAAGTCTATGGATAGTTTCCATTACATAGTTGGTACTTTAAATGATCTTGGCTAGAGGTCATCTTAATGTCACATATGTGTATCGTGTGCTGTAAAGTACTGTCTGCTTTTTATTTTTGAGTCTAGACCAACCACTGTTTTGTAAAATCATTTTGGTTATAAGGTTTCTATGTTATTCAAAATTAACGTTAAAATTTATTTATGATTCATGTGTATATTCTAGTGTCTTGCGACTTTATTCTCTCAATCTGTACTCAGGTAGATCTGGCAATTTTCCAGGTGATTAAAATTTTCCGACTTTCACCAGAGCGCCGACTCATTTGTTTTATGTGGATGAAAAATGAAATATCAAACTGAAAATAAAACTTGGTATTTTTGTTGTGTCTGTTCTGTAGTGCGTATCATTCAAATGCGTCTTTCTTCAATGCTTTATTTGTATGAAAGTGAAAAGGTCAAATCATCTTTATTAAACTGTATGTAAATTGTACAAAAAGGAAACGGAACATAGATAAAAGGTACTAGTGTTAAAGGAGAGAAAGGTGTATTTTGTGTCCATTATACTTCTTGTATTGTTTGTTCATGTTTCCACAATAAAAAGAAAAAGGTTTTCATTAGCTCCTCCATTGGCCTGTTTACTTCACTTAGAGCCTCGTAACATAGCTCCATTGGATCTACGCTTTTTACGTCCCTTGTTTTTCAGGTCTCTGTATCAAACGTATATTGCACAGTGTCAGTGATTATTTTGACTGGTGTTTGATTTGTACTCGTATACGTGATGGTTTTGGTTTAACCGTGGAGGCGACTGATGTTTTGTTATCAGTATGATTTTGTTCTAAAGTATTCTTTATTTTGGGGTCTTTGTAGAGGTTAATCCTGGAAATCAAATACCTAGAAAATATACAACATCTGACAGGCAGATCCACGAATTTACGTACCCACGAAAATGATCTTTTTTGTTTTTACAAAGTCACGAAAACTGAGACCCACAAAAACAAATGATACCATATTATTCTAGCTCAATGGCGATAACGGGCAATCGATAACTGTTTCGCCTTGAAGAAGTCCATTGTATATAGAAGTATACTTCCAAACATAAAAAGACTATTGATTTGACGTATGCAAAATACACTTAGCTAATACAATGCATTATGTGTCTACAACACTTGGTAGCATAAATGAATGAATAAATTAATTTTTAATTACGATAGAAAATCTGTTTACGCATATATCGGAGCAAGCGAACGAGATAGTTTTTGTTGTTGCTATGGGTTTGATGCCATTTTTCAGTACAAGATATGCTATATATTGTGGTCAGTATAACTGATATAGGAAGAATCAGAGAAAAACCTAGTAAGAACGGGAAGCTACTTGCAATTTTCGCACATACCCACATCAGCCATGACCGAGAGAGAGAGAGACTCAAACCCACGCATACAGAAGTGAGATGGCAGTGATGGGTGAAGGCGGGCGCTTTAGACCACTCGGCCATCCTGGGCCCCCGAACAAAAGAGAGAGAGAGAGAGAGAGAGAGAGAGAGAGAGAGAGAGAGAGAGAGAGAGAGAGAGAGAGAGAGAGAGAGAGAGAGAGAGAGAGAGAGAGAGAGAGAGAGAGTCTAAGTTGGAATGCATCATACTTGTATTTTTTATCGAGGGTTTTTGTACGGTTCTCAAATTGACATTTCAGAATAATTGCAAAAGCTTATGGGGTTTCTCAGAATTAAAGACAAAATGGTATTTATCTTCTACATCATTACATCTTCGACTCTAGACAATTCTCAAGAGAAGTTATCCAATAATTTTAGTCTTGTAAGCAAGGTAATAAATTATCTCATGGAAAAGGAAATATTGATTCTTGCAACATAGAGGTATAGAAAAGAAATATCTGACACTGATCATATTACATGCAGCACACCATGAAAACTGCAATTACTTATCTTGCCCTCTACCCCGCCCCATCAAGCCACCATTTATTTATGAACAAAATTAAAGATGAACATACCTCGTTACATTATATATATATATATATATATATATATATATATATATATATATATATATATATATATATATATATATATATATATATATATAATTTGTGATATATGCTACATGTTAATCCCGTTTACACATATGTCTTCTATACATGATAAACGAAATGTCGTTGATAATGAAAAACACGATGTTTGGGAGTATGTAATACATGAACCATGGAAAAACATATTGAAGTATTTGTACCTGTTTTTTATATTCTAATAGGAACACAAGTAATAAGACTTAAAAAATAAAATGTAATTTCTCTATAAGATCGTTAGGTTTGAATGGCTAAGTAATTATGTTACACGCTGGTGATGTCCTAGATGATTGACTACTGGGGAAAATCAAAACAGATTCCTCATCAGTATAGGGTCATCTTTTATAAAAGTTACAATCAGCCATATCTGGAATATTGTAATGTAATTTGGGGTAATACCTCTAATTCAAACATAACAACACTTTAAAGAATCCAAATGAGGGCTTGCCATTTAATTCTAGATCAATGTATTGACAATTTCCAGGATGCAATGAATAATTTAAAGATTTTAACAATACATGAAAGAATATTTCTAATAAGGTCCAAACTAATGTATAAATTATCCAGAATAGCACTACAAATTTACAGCCCATAAGAAGTAAAAATTACATTATGCAAAGGCCAAAAGAAGGAGTTGATATAAAACATGTTTTCAATGGTCCTCTGATATGAAGCAGCATTCCCAGTGACATAAGGAAGGCTCCTAGCATTTCTTCTTTTCATAATCAGTGGCTTAAATGGATGAAGTCTTTAAAAAATTTAACAGTTCTAGGACAATAAATACCGCCTGCTTTTCTATAATTTTGCATTATTTTGAATTTTTCAATGCAGGGTGATATTTTATGTTTTAT